CAGGACTTAACTTCAGATATGCCTGGGGTGGAGGCTCTCTGTGGGGCAGACCCACCCTCCTGGTTCCCGGGCGTCTCCACAATGAGCCCCGACCTTCCTTGGCACAGTCATATCTGTTATGCTGCAGGAATCACGTAACTAAAACCAGAGGTCTTTTCTGCTCATTTTATCGGTGAGCCTGAAAAGCTTTTCCTCAACAGGGTAAGACAGAGGCTACAGGGATCTGTTCCATACAGCTTTAGGTGAACATGTCAACTCAGCTCAAAAGTGCTCAGAAAGACAGGCTCCTATCAGCACTACTTCTGCAGGGTTTCCAGGTGATCTCATTAGAAAAAACGATTTCCCTGCAGGTAAGCCACTGCAGGCCACATGACAGAGGGGCAGCACAGCCTCGAGGCCCAGCCCTCAGATTGAGGCATCTTGCTTTTTTCCCAGGGAGTTCCAAAGAGTCACGATTTTGATCTAAATGGGACCTCATTCCCAGAAGAGTGATTTTATTGTACTGGCAAGATGTTCTCTGGAAGGCACACCCCACAGACAATGACCACAGCGGGTAAGCAGTTTAGTAGGTAATTGTATCAGCACCAAGATTTCTGTTCCTCAGCTCAATGATTAATAAAACCCTCACGCCTGGACTGGCTGCAACAGGGGTGATATGGCTGGAGAATGACAAGGCTGCAGTTTCTGTACCTTTTAAAGCCAATCTCTAGGGTTTTAAATGCCTCCTTTGGAGTTTTGGAGGTCCCAGTTCCTAGAACTGGGAATGTAAGCCAAAGGACACCCAGAGTGATGAACTAAACAACGCACCGATGGAGGAGCAGGCGGTGGCCCTCCGCCTCTCACACAGCAGTCTCACCTTCTTCTTCGGAGGCCCTCCCGGGGTGCTGGGCTCTGAGCTAACTGCTTTCCCCGTGAGCTCCCTGGCTGCAGACAGTCTCACTTTCTAAGACAAGCTCAAGCTCACCAAATCATTATGATGAACAAAGCTTTAAGAAAGAGACACGCCTTTTTATTTAGAAAACTTCACATTGCAGAGATACACAAAATCATGTGACTAGCCTCAGCTCCAGGAGCTTGTCCAAATCAACACCAAATGGGATTCTTTCCTTCTCTTTTATTAATATTTAAGGGGACTTGGAGGTCAGTTTATCTGATTAATCTAAAGGTGAGAGGTATCATTTTCCCAGACACCCTGACTAGGCCTCTCACATCCCTGGAAGGCTGTCAGCTAATGCCAGAACACGGTCAAAACGTGAACGCAGCAGGAGTGGAAGGAAGTGTCCCTGAAATCCCCGGTCCCGGGATCCGCAGTGACCCGAGTCAGCCCAATGCACGAACGGCAGCATCTTCCATGGACTGCAGCCGGTGTTCCCCAATTTAAAATCTAACTGACAATCTCCAACGTCTCACTGTTCTAGGCGACATCTAATGGGTGTGGAGAACACAGCTCTTCCTGAGGCTGAGAGGTCCGTGCCGCATGGCTTTCTAGCAAGGCAGATGCCAGGATGCTTCCCCCTGCTCCGAGCGAGGGGAAGCCCCCGTGCAGAGAGGGAGGCCACCAGCAGGAGAGCTGCACAGCGTCAGCCTCCCCCAGCCCTGGGGGGAGGTCCCACCCTGGCAGGGCTCCCAAGACATGCCTGCTGCCTCCACGGGGCGTGTGGCCTGCACAGCCTTGGGTCTGACCTCTTATCTTCAGGAGTAAGAACCAGAAAAGCACTTGTACTGTTCAATCACTACCAAATAATCTCCTCACCCTGGAGCTGCCGACTTAGCTGTCCTGCACATCTCTCGCTCTCTCTCTCTTTTTTTGTAAAAATGTGGGTTATTTTCTGAAATGCAGATGGGACCAGGATGAAGCTATATTGTCAATTACAGCTAACCCTCAACTCTCTTCAAGCAAAAATCCATCCCACTATCATAACTTCTCCAGGTATTTCTTTTAATTCAAACTTACTCTCAACTAGCACAGGCTTACAGAACACTTCAGAACTATTAAAGATTACAGCTGCGGCAAAAATCATTGTGACTATTAAGTCCTTTCTGTAAACTAAAAAAAAAATGTGGCTCAGGCTGTTTTTTAAAAAAAAAGGTCAGGCGGGGACACCAATGAGGGTGTTAATACAGCACTAAGTGGAAATGGTAACTATGAAAAGCACGGTGTGTGAAACGCACACCAGGGTCCCACAGAAGACCGAGCAATCCTCCGGTTAAAGAGGCACAGGAGCCTCCATGAGCACTGTGTGTGGAAAAGAGAAAGGAGAAGGGGAACAAGGAAGACAGTCCTGTGCAGAACTTCTTTCTTCTAAAAGCAAACTTTTTTCTTCTAAGCAAGTCTAGGAGGATTCACATGTGCTGACTCCTAACATCAAAACAGAAAATATTTTTTTTGCCACAAAGGAACTTGACTATGCAGCAACACACTTACAAAAGTGCTGCAAAACACTCTCAGAGGGCAGTCACCCCTCTCCCCAGAGGCTGCCAGGAGGCCCTAACTGCTGCACTTGCCACGGCTCCGCGCCACACGATGCAGAGGGTGGACCGGAAGTCCAGCCACAGCCTCAGAGGAGGTGACAACCCTTCACCCTTTGATCCCTCCAGATGGCCTCAGCTCAGACTGAGCCGTGAGGGAGCCGTCTCCATGCAGGGCAGACAGGGCAGCAAACACTTGTCAAAACAAGCACAGTCAATTCTTAACATGCCCATTCTGTTCCGTTTGCTATGAGAAAAACCAAGACTCCTCTTTCATGGGCTGCACTGTTTGGGAAGGCTGCAAACCTGAGGGCAGAGACCCTCCCCCCACCCCTGCCCCCCGCCCCCGCCCCCGAAAGTCCTGTTCCAAAAAGATGGCGTGACCTCACTTATGTTTCCCCAGTGGCTACAATTTATAAACTAAAATCACATTTTAACTAAAAAACCCCACTGCTATCTTTCTCTATCCCGAGGATGGTAGACTCTGATGGATACTCCAGTGATAACCAGAATCTAAAAGATGCAAATTCACTGTGAGAGACTTGATACCTGCCCTGAACACGGAAACCTGTTTCTGTCAAGCTGAACAAGGCGAGTCCTTGTAAAGCTAATGGCAAATCGGTGTCAATAAAATTACTTTGCAAGTAGGGTGATTTTTGTGTTTTCTTGTTTCTCCTTTCTCTGGGGAGACATAAGGTTAGCTGGAAACACAGAAGGGCGGCGGCTACACAGCAGTGAAGGCAGCGCTGGTGTTGACGGTGCCAGGAGGGGAGAACACGGACCCACTCCTCAGAGTCCCAGTGCCACAGAAGCCTGCGCCGGCGGACAGAGCCTCCTGCGGCCGGTCAGGAACGCACCAGCAAAATCTGTCCAGTTAACTGTGTTAACAGGACCCATTCATGTTAGGGAAAAATACTTCTTGGCACCGTTCCCTTTCCTGACCCAAAGACACCAACAATAGTCCAAACTGGACTTGGCAGGCTCATATGCTGTCACACCAGCCAGTGCAGACACCTGCAGACGGGCAGAAGATGCGCCCTCGCCCGGCGCACCGACTGTTTCCCTGCGAAGCACCTTCAATCCCCATCAAAACGGAAGAATGCATTTGGGAGAACGTGCTTTTGGAATTCTACTCAGTACCCAGCTGGTCTTATTTTATTTCCTCCTGTACGTATCTGAGCAAACATTAGATGCTGCGAATCAGACAACAGCAGCAGTGTGTGTGTTTTTAAGTAGGACACGCGAAGCGAGTTGGCATTTAGACTCAAACCCCATGGTGCTGTTTCTATCCAATGGGACCCTGACTGGGGGACAGATTCCTCTCCCAGAGGCAGGACGGCACCCTAAGGAAACTGGCGGCGCTGCCTCTGGTTCTGTGTTGAAGACCGGGAGAGAAGATGCAGCCGAGAGCAGAGCAGAATTTACAGCCACTGACGAAGGTCCCCAGAATGCTGGAAACTAAATGACACAGACCGACCAGATATACACACTCTATCAGTGGGAGGGAAGAGCAAAAGCTTTTCAAAGTGTGAGTATTCATTAGAATTTTTAAATAATGAGAACTACGATTCTAATTTCACATCTTGGCTGTTTTGACAAAGGAGAAGCCACGAAGATAGTGACAAGCTCCTGTCCCAAGCCAGGGACTGATCAGTGCCCCACCCCAGCAACACAAAGACCCATACTTCCCAACTAAACAACACACGTGGCGAATGACGCCTGCAGGAGACCTGCACCGACACCCAGCGAGACAGCCCGCAGTGAGCCCAGGCACTGCAGCGCTGTCCCTGCGCACAGGCAAGTGTCCCCCCGCACCACTTCTCTGCACAAGGGAGGCCTTTCTCACCCCAGGGGTGCACAGTCAGTATCTCTGAGCATGCTCCGGCGCACTTACAGGTGCTGCGACATTACAGAGACAAGCGAACACTTGGATTTTCCTCCCGTGTACTTTCCAGGAACTTAACACGGTTACCCACGATGGGGACAGGACTGCACAGCTGTACTGCCCACGACAGGTGGCCACTCTCGCGCACAAGGCCAGTGTCAGTTGGGCAAGCCGTGAGGCGTGCACGCACAAGGAGAGAGCCTCTGTCGGCGGTAAGGAGCGTCATGGGAAAAATGCCAAACCAGCAGGACAGAGACAGTGCTCCATGCTCCGGTTGTTTTAAAGTAACCCCCGAATCCAGTTCCAATCCCTACTGTTGACATGTAGGGAAGAATTCAATTTCTATCATTGTTTTTCCGGATCTGGGCTGAGGCCATTTGCTCCTGGCTTGGTAATAAAAAAAATAGGTTTCTTTCTGGATCCTTCTTGGCATGGAAACACAGCTGCAAGAGGAGAGGCCACGAGTCCTGGACGCCGTGACGGTAGCGCCCTCTTCCCGCCCCCACGCGACTGCAGTCCGACTGGGAAGGAGCAAGGACGGGGGCTGGGCGAGCCACGAGCGTCAGAAGGAAAGTGTGAACTGGGAGGCTCTCCGTTTCAGAAACACCTCAAATTTAAGAAACCAAACAAACTCCTGAAACATTTAAACAGTTAAATTCCTCTTCTAAAAGTCATTTATTTACATATTATATGCCCAGTATATAATGTGTAGATAAATGTATCCAAGTGTATCCTGCAGTGAAAGGAACCAACCTACTGGACTGAATAGCACATTATAGAACAAATTCTTAAAAGGTTTCATCTCATATTGGTATCTTTTAATTAAAAAAAAAATTAAAAATAAAAGAAAAAAGCCTGGCCAGGGCTAGAATGAGAAATACAGGAAAACTTCAGAATCCAAGGTAGAGGGAGGCTGTTTGCCTCTGTGTAGAGAACGTAGGAGTGTGCCCAGGCGGGGGCAGATCATGCACAAGAGTACTTACAAATTACAGCCCCTCAATAAAAGAGAAGAAAAGCCCCGTCATTTAACACCAAACAGCAACACTTTCAATGAACACTTTCTCTGCTGCCATCATGCCTTATTTGAGAGAGGAGGCCCGTGAGGAGGGGTGAGAAGAGCAAGGGTGAGAGGGAAGGTCAGGTCTGCACTTCAGTCTAGTTTCCAATTTCCATCCTCTTCCAGGTCTTCAGTCATCTGATGTCCGACGTGGAGCTCTGAGCAGAAACCGAGTAGGTGGTGGCCACGACTGGGGTGCCGTTGTTGGCGGAGTAGCCTTGCCTCAATGTCTCAAAATACGACGCTTGCACGGGTTTGTGGTACTGCAGCATTTTGATGGCATCTTCTATCTTAAACCACTCCCTCTTCCTTCCTGTAGAGGCATACAGAAAAATAAATAAGGACACCAGGGAAGCAACAAAAGGTTTCTAATCATCTAACTTTTTAGAAAATGTAGAAGGAAATATGAAAGTAATGGTTGTCAACATTTTCAAAACATGTATTATAAATGTTTTATTTATTTTCTTTTAGGATTGAAAGCAAGCACATTTTATATGCTTCAAATACTGTACAAATGCCCAATGCAGAAATCAGGTAAGAAACCTGAAAACTGAAGAGCTGACAGTGAACGGGCTCCCTGCGGCGCCCCGCCCGGCCCTGTCTTAGCCTGCTCCAGAGCCCGAAGCCCAGCCAGCATGCCCCCTCCCAGCATCAAGCTTCTAAATTTACCAGGATGGCTGGCTTATAATCAGTTACTTACTTTAAAAAATTTATATGAGTAATACAGCTATATAATAGAAAATATTACTTAAAAAAAGGAAAAAATCTCAACACAATCACTATTAACTTTTCAGTCTATTTTCTTTTATAAAATGTGTGTTACGTGCCATTGAACTGGCTATGTCCACACTGTCCTGTCTTCTGTCTTCAACAGTCCTGCTCACCCTCTGCAGGCCGAGGCCTATGGCTTCCTTTATTCAGTCATCCATCTCCTATTTGGTTTTCCTCTTAATACATGCTTTATAATCTTTTATTTATTTATTTTTATAATAAAAGATCACTGTTTAAAGTTAGGAAAACAGGGGAAAGTATAATTACCCATAATCTTATAAACCAGAAATGACCACTCTCAATACCTTGGTGCATTTGCTCTTCTTTCATCATATTTCAGAAAGACCGTGGATATGAACTATAACTGGATCACGCTTTAAGGTGCTCCAAATCCTGAAAGGCTCTGATAAAGTGTTATGGGTGGGAACATGGGTGCTGATGCCAAAATGCTGAGCTCCAATCACATCACTGGCTCTAATGAGCTGTGCAAGTTAGTGAATCTCTCTGTGCCCTATTTTCCTCTCTGTAAGAGAGAGAGTAAATGTTCCCTATCTCACGAGTCTGTTGTGGATATTAATATGTACGGTACTTGAACAACACCTGGCACATGATATGTGCTCTAAGAGTTTGCTTTTTATTTTTTTTTAAGATTTTATTTATTTATTTTTAGAGAGGGAAGGGAGGGAGAAAGAGAGAGAGAGAGAGAGAGAAAGAGAAACCTCAATGTGCGGTTGCTGGAGGTCATGGCCTGCAACCCAGGCATGTACCCTGACTGGGAATCGAACCTGCGATGCTTTGGTTCGCAGCCCATGCTCATCCACTGAGCTACGCCAGCCAGAGCTCAGAGTTTGCTTTTTATTATTACTATTATTGTTATTGTTTATTTTTTACTTCACAGTGCTTCTTAAGCATTCTTCTATGTTATTAAATATATAACATTAAGAAAGATTTTATTTATTTTAGAAAGGGGGAAGAAGGAGAACAGAGAAACGTCAATGTGTGGTTGCCTCTCGTGCGCCCCCTACTGGGGACCTGGCCCACAATCCAGGCATGTGCCCTGACTGGGAATCAAACCAGGGACCCTTTGGTTTTTAGGCCGGTACTCAATCCACTGAGCCACATTAGCCAGGGCTAAAAAAATATAATATTTAATGGCTATGCATTACATCATAACATCTGGCATGGATGTGCTGTTATTCATTTAACCATTTCCCTATCACTGAACATAAATATCCTACGATTTTAATTATTATTAATAATACAACAATTAAAAAACCTTTATCTGTTTGTTCTTCTTTTTTTTTAACCTCTCAGGGAAAAATCCATAGAATTGAGACTATAAGAATAAGATGTCTGAACTCTAAGGGCTCATGACACACAGTGCTGAACTGCTCTCCAAGACGCCACACCAACTCCGACCCCTGCACATGTGCCAGCGTGCTGGTCTCACACCCCACAGCCAGCACACTCACCTTTCCTTGATCACTGGCAATTCTTTATTTCATTTCAAATTATGATTTCAATGTAACTCTAACGTGTGTGTGTGTGTGTGTGTATGTGTGTGTGTATACACGTATACATATATATATATATATATTTCTGTATCCTGTTTTCATTCACCCAAACTATTTTCTAAGCACTTTTATAAGTATGTGTTTAATAGCTAACATTCCCATCAGATGAAAGTACCTTAAATCACTTATAATTTGCTGAGTTATACAGTTAAGACCCAGTTTTTCATCTGAAAAAGGGTCATATGAAGGAAGGCTCATGGCCTTATTTCCTGTATCTTAGATTACTTCATCAGGGTCGGCTGTCAGAGGTCGGAGTAGAGGTGAGAGGCTATACAGTGACGGTACCTTAAAGATTCATATCCCAAGTGTGAGACTCTGGCCGGCTGAGTGCTCTGAGGCAGGGCCACGCCACACTCATTTCTGCCTCCTTTTGAGGCCCCAGCACCAGCTGTCAAGGAGCCTATTTTTAACACCACCCCCCCCAACCCAGCGCCCCAAGCATACTGCATCTTACCAGACACAAAGCCTTAAAAACTGAAGGGCTATGAAATGCTCAAATCAGCAGTGTGAGGGCCCTGATGGCAAAGCATATAGGCAGAGGTTTCGGCAAGTGTTTTATTTGTTTACCAATTTAGAACAAATTAAATTAATGTTACACTTTTCTAAAAAATATTTTTGTTCAGGGGCAAAAGATTAAATCATGAACCAACCATTCAATCATTTCAGTTTTTTAGTTCAAAAGAAAATATCCAACAAAGATCTCAGCGATCAAAGAAAATGGCTCTTCATGAGACAGCTAGGTGACCCGACCAGTAACGTGAGCGACACTGGAAACCACACCCACTACTCTGGATCTACTAAACGACCCTGCAGAGGGGCTCATGCCACCAAACCCACGGTTGTCTCCGACAATGAGAATAAGCATCGCAAGGAACAGCCCAGGTACTGCTCTCTCCCGGGGCCCTGTGGCCAGCATGGGTCTGGCACCGTGGAGGAGGATCCAAGCTGATTCTTAGAAACATTTCCTATTTCTCATGGGCCATATTTCTATTTGTTGACCGTGTATCCAACTTTAGCAATCTTTTAAACATTTCAAAATACTAACTTTCACAGGTTTAAAAATGGACATGCTTGTTTTATTAAACCTGCCCTCCTATGACTTCTCTTCTCATCAGGCTCTTGTTTCTGTTCTGAGTAATGACCTGTGCGGCAGCAAGCTCTTTGGAGGCCACCTGGGGTGACTTACCGATGTTAACCGAGTCTTCCCAGTCTTCCAGCACCTCCGTGACAATGAGCACGTAGACATACGTTCTGTGCTTCCTCTCCTGGTTCTGAGGGCAAAGAGAGGAGCACACAGAAGAGTTATTCCTTACAGGGCTGAGATGACTTGTGAAGCGCACTCTCACACATATGTACAGAGAGCTTAGACACATGATTCCTTTTACTTTTTACCATCCTACAGTCAAACATGAAATAGCGCCAGATGTCCTATCTGAAAACATGCCACAGTTGCATTTGAGGGTAAGCTCTTCGGCCGGGTTCCCAGAGCCGAGGCTTTACTCTCTTTTTTCCTTCTCCTTTCCTTAAGTGCAACTTCATGGAAAAGTTGTGAGCAGAAAGTTCATGACCTCTCACGAAAAAGGCACCAAGTAAATTTAACTAGCTGGGCACCAGCAAGAGGAGACTGGATGGGCGAGGTCTCATCAATGCAAGCCAGCCAGCCAATCATCTCCCACATCCTCCTACCCCTACAACCCAGCTCACCTATATTCCCTGATTTCTCACTTCCTTCCACTTTCCTCCAAATCTCTACCCTAGCTCGATTTCCTTGTTTCTCTCTTTTTTCTGTATTTTCTACACTTAACTGCATTTTGCTGTGTAAATGAACACCCATGTTTTTGTGCACATTATACATGGGATTATTATACCCATGTATAATGCGCATCCTTATTTTTCCCTCAAAAATTTGGGCAAAAAAGGGTGCATTTTACATGGCAAAATACAGTATCTACCTCTCCTTACGTCCTAGAGAAGGAAAGGAGGAGAGGCAGGGATAGAATAAGTAATACAAATAATATTCTGGCTGTTTGGAGGAGACAAAGGCTGCAACAGAATAAATATTTATGCCCCTCCCAAATTCATATGTTAAAATTCTAACCCTCAATGTGATGGCATTAGGAGGTGGTCTTTGGGGGTGATTAAGTTATGAGGGCTGACCCTTATGAATGAAATTAGTGTCCTTATAACAGAGAGAGCAACCTTCTCTGTTCTACCATGTGAGGACACAGGGAGAAACAGTGGTCAATGAACCCAGAAGTAGGTCCTCAACCAGATGCTGAATCTGCTGCTGCCTTGATCTTGAATTTCTAGCCTTCAGAATTGTGAAAAACCAATTTCTATTATATATAAGCCACCCAGTATGTGAAATTTTGTTACAGCATCTGCATGGACTAAGACAAAGATATATGTGGTTACAAATATGATACCGTATGTGCAAAGATTTTAACAGACTTACCTCAAAAATTCCAACTAATCTTCCCAATGTCCCTTTTACTCCAGCCTGCAAAGTAGGGGAAAAAAATTAACATACTGATAGTTTGTCTTATTCTGAATCTTCTGAGCAGTTTGTAAAATAGAAATGAAAAACCTAAAGACATGCCCTGGCTGGTGTGGCTCAGTGGACTGAGTGTCCCCTTGCAAACAGAAAGGTCACCAGTTTGATTCCCAGTCAGGGCACATGACTGAGTTGAGAGCCTGGTCCCCAGTAGGGGGAACTCAAGAGGCAACCACACATTGATGTTTCTCTCCCTCTCTTTCTCCCTTCGTTCCTATCTCTCTAAAAATAAATAAACAAAATAAAATAAAACTTCACTTAAAAATAAAAAGAACAATAGGACACAGTTTGGAGGGGGTCACACTGGTGTTTCCTGCGTGTCACCGAGAAGAGCAGGGCGCACACTGCGGAGGGAGAATTCCCCTTGGCTCCTCCCAGGCTCTTTCCCCACTGCAAAGCAGGCCAAACAGAGCAGAAAATCAAGGCCATGAATTACTTCACTCATTTACTCATTCATCCAACAAATATACACTGAATGCCTGGCTTGAGCCAGATCACACTTGTAGGTACCAGAGATGCAGTGATGAATAGGCTAGAATAAAAGATTCATAAGAGCAAGACCTGTATCCTGACTTGTTCTTAGATGTCTCTGTACAGTATGCCCAGAACAGAGCTCAGTAAAACTAAGTCAACAAAAACATAAACCTGGCTACTCGCCAGTGACAGGTATTGACAGAGATGTACAGAACAATGCGAGGGACAGAAGAGTGACAATTTCATACAGTGGTTAAGCATCTGAGTATATACTCTTTAGCTCCCATTGGCCCTTTGGTAATTTTTCTTAGATTTGTGTCTTTCTGATGCATTATCAATGAACTTTTCAGTCTATTCCAATTTACTAATTTCCTTTTAAATTGTATCCAGGCTAGAGTTATGCCATCTCTAGTCTATTTATTTGACATTTTTCATTTCTACCTGTTCTTTACATATCTGTTTCCATTATGTATATACCTTCGTTTCCGTATTTTGTTCTTTTAAAATATAAGTTATTCCTTCATTTACTTCTTGATCATCTGAACATATTTAAGTTGGCTGGCCATGCTACAAAATTCACTGAATCTGAAGTACATTCATGTTCCAAATGGTGAAGGGCTTCCTTGTGAGGCAGATTTACCAAGCTCTCCAGAGCCAGGTCTTAAAGTGACAGTTCAGACTCCTCCTCCAAGGTGATGGGGCAAATACTGCAGACAGAGCTCTGAAGTCGGAGGGTGGCTTGGCTCCATCCTTTATTGTGCGTTGCACCTGTGTCCTCTCCTACCAGGGCCCACATCTCTCTAAAAGTCTCAGCTCATGGTGTCCTTTCCATGGGCCTCTGGGCCACTGGGCTCCCCTCGCTGTGAGGGGTCCACGCAGGCTGTAGCTTTGCTGTGCTGCTCTGTTTCTGATGTATGGAGGTAGTGTCCACCTTGCTTCTGAGCCAGGCTATGTCTTTTTAGCTTTTGCATTTTATATTTTATATCTATCTCTGCTAGGAGAAGGGATCAGTGTAATGCCATATTGCCCTGAACATCCCAGATCTCGTCTGATCTGGGAAGCTAAGCAGGGTCGGACTTGGTTAGAACTTGAAGGGAGAACACCTGAGAATACCAGGTGTACTATGCTGCCCTGGCCAGGTAGCTCAGTTGGTTGGAGTGTCATCCTGACATACCAAGGCTGTGAGTTCAATGAGGGCACATACAAGAATCAACCAATGAGTGCATAAATAAGTGGAACAACAAATTGATGTTCTCTCTCCCTCCACCCCTTTCCTCTCTAAAATGAAAAAAAAAAATAAAAATTAAGAAGCAGTCAAAAGTGAGGGAAAGATGAAGCCTGGAAATGCAATAGACTGCTATAACTTGTTTTCTATTATTACTGCCTTACTTGTAAAGTAAACTAAAAATTAAGGCAAAAATATTCTCTAAATACAAAATAGTAGGTGGTCAGTAAATTTGTACAGAATAAGCAAAAATTTAAAATAAGTACTCAAAAAGTGTTTAAGAGATATTTAATAACAGAAATAGAATAGGCTGATTTAAAGGCCTAGACTCCTGGGTGAACTAAATCTTGAAATTAATTTTTGCTAATTATCTGTCAAGGAACTCTAGTCCTTTCGCTTGCAAACACGCCCGTTTCTTTTCTTATTCTTCTTCCACCTATTCTTGTCCCTATGTGGCTTTTGGTTGACTTGAATGGAAATGTCTATCTTTTCTCATTTAAATTGCTCTTCCACAGTTTTAGAAAAAACTGCACTCTTCATGGCCAGATAAGACCAGCTGGACTGTTCCTTCATGAACCAGCCAGTGAAGCAGCCTGAACGAGTGGGACGAGATGGCAGGCTAGCCTGCGCTGGGAAGCCAATTCTATCCTCTGGTCCCAGCAGCCCAACACACGCCGCTGTGTCACTCGTGCCCTTGCCACAGGCCTGCACCAACAGGACCTGGGGGTGGAGCTGTCAGGGTTGGGGTGGGCCTAAGGGCAGACTCATGTAGGCCATCATTCACTTCTCTTCTGCAAAGTGGAGAAAGAGTTCTCTTTAGTAGCAGTTACTGTCTTTAGTAGCAGTTAATTTTTATTTATTTTTTAAAAATCAAGACTTCCAGGCAAGAGGAAGGCATATAGGTAAACACAGCTCACCTCCTTGGACAACCACTGCAAATCACTGCTAAACTACAGAATAAACATCACTCAGAACCATCAGAAAATTGAGCTAGATGGAAGTCTGACAACGAAGGAATTGAAGAAACCACATTCATCCAGGTGGGCAGGAGGGGTGGAGATGAGGAATGGGCTGGTCCCCCATCCATGTGTGGTGGATAAAAATAGGGAGGGATATTTAGGGAGTCAGGAATCCCAGTCTCACATCAGGCCACCCAGCCCAGGGTTCCAGTTCCAGGAAGATATGTCCCCATACCTTCTGGCTGTAAAAACAGTGGGGGTTGTGTTGTTGGGAGAAACTTTGGGATTCTCAGTCAGGAGTCACCTCTTGGCAGCACCCCTGCCACCCCATGCACAAGGACATACTCAGACTCACGCCCCACTGGGCTCCTGCACTGGGGCAGCATCTTGATGGGCACCAGTGGCATAAGGGGAGGATCTGAAGTGTCTGGCATCAAGGCAAGAGCTGGAAGACAGCTTCTTCCCAGATAGAACTGTAGACAGCAGTCACTGTACCTTTTCTGAGCCCTCCCCCACACAGAGCCACAGTGCAGCAGCACCATGTGAGTCTCCATCAACCTGACTCACACGGTACACCCAGCCCTGACGATTAACCAAGAGTCCGACCCATTCAAATTATGGGTCCACCCAAGCTGGTAACAGTGGCTTTTCCATATGAAGGGCTGGGCTAGGTACAGGCTTCAGACCTTCCTAAATCCACTCAAACAAGCAACAACTGAGCCCAGCCCCGATATCTCTTGCAGAGTCGCCCCAGGACTAGCACTAGCAGCAGCCGTCTGAAGATTGCTTTGTAGCTTATGCCAAGGGACCCCAGACAGAACAGAGGTGGAGGCTGACCTTGACCTGCATCATCCAGGAAACTCCAGAGCCCGTGCTGCCAGCAGGCAGTCACAGACCACATCGGATCACCACCCAATCACCTCCACAAGCCATGGAGGGAGGTGGTTGCTGGCCAGGGGTCACAGCTAGTCCTATCAACTGTCTCACACTGACCTGCTGACAGCAATCAAGACTCATTTCTGGAGGGAGTACTCAGCCCACACAGATGGAACACCTCGAGTACCCAGTTTGGCTGAGAGGGGAGGCTGTGCCACTGGTCCCTACAGGACAGCTACTACCTTAGGCCACGCTATGAAGACACAGAGCCAAAGCAGCTCTACTTAATACACACAGACACAGGGAGGCTGCCAAAATGCGGCAACAAAGAAACATGGCCCAAATGAAAGAATGACAAAATGGAGATAAGAAATCTTTCTGTTGCAGAATTCAAAACACTAGTTATAAGGAAGCTCAAAGAACCCAGTGGGTTCTTCAACAGCATAAAGATGATCTATTCAGAAATGAAGACACTAAGTGAAATTAGGGCAATTTACAGGGAATTAACAGTAGAGTGGAAGAAGCCGAGAACCAAACTAATGTTTTAGAACATAAGAAACAAAAAGGTATTCAATTAGTACAGTAAGAAAAAAAGAATCCAAAAAGTCAAGGATAGTGTAAGCAGTCTCTGGGACAACTTAAAGCACACCGACATTTGAATCATAGGGGTGTCAGAAGAAGAGAAAAAGCAAGAAACTGAAAACCTATTTGAAAAAATAATAAAAGAAAACTTCCTTAATTTGGTGAAGGATGTAGCCATACAAGTCCAGGAAGCACAGAGTCCCAACCAAGATGGACGCAAAGAGGCCCACACCAAGACACATCATAATGAAAATGCCAAAGTTTAAAGATAAAGAGAGAATATTTGTTTATTTATTTTTTAAATTATTTAATTATAGTTGTCCCCATTTCCCCCCTATTATTCTCCCCTGCCCTACCCACCCCCAACAACCCACATTCAATCCTCCCCATTTTGTCTTTGCCCACGGGTCCTTTATACAAGTTCCTTGACTTGACTCTTCCCCTTCTTTCCCCTGTTACTCCCCACCACCCTCCCCTCTGGTCACTGTCAGTTTGTTCTTTATTTTCATGTCTCTGGTTCTATTTTGCTCACTTGTTTGTTTTGTTGATTAGGTTCTAAAGAGAGAATCTTAAAATCAGCAAGAGAAAAATAGAGAGTTATCTACAAAGGAATTCTCATAAAACTTTCAGCTGATTTCTCAAAGGAACTTTGAAGACAAGAAGGGATTGGCAAGAACTATTCAAAGTGATGAAAAGCAAGGACCTATAACCTAGATTACTCTGCCCAGCAAGGCTATCATTTAGAATGGAAGGACAGATCAAGTGTTTCTCAGACAAGGTAAAACTAAAGGAGTTCATCATTACCAAGCCATTATTATATGAAATGTTAA